TGTGACATCAAACACAAAATCTGCACGCCTTTCCACTGTGTCCCACGATCACTGGAAGGCTTTATGCTTCCTATTTCACAATGCTAACATGGGGGTTTCTTTTCTGAGCTCATTGCATGAACTAAGCAGTAAACTCTTCCTCAGTAAAGATCTGGAAGACGGTGGGCACGGACCTTTCCACCATCCCCTTAGCTCTATCCTAGGGTCACTGTGGGGAGAACATGAGATAGTATAGGATTATTTTGAGACGCACAATAGAGGATATCTATATGACACAGCTGAACCATAAGAAGGCCCCCAAATTGGATGCAGTAGAATGCCAGGCCTCATCAGACTCCTGGCCTCCACTCTTCACTCAAAAACACACTAGTGTTATCTTGGAAAGTGCTCTGACCTTTCTAGGCCTCAGTTTCCCCTTGTGCAATAAAGGATAACAAAGTAACCACACAACGTCACTGATTAAAGTAAATATTGTATGTACAGTTCTTAGCATGGCAGCCAGCCCACGGTAAGGGCTCTGTGTTAGCTATTCATTCCATCCAGTAAGGATGTGGCAGATAAATCATACTCGGAGCTGTCTTTCCCCACACCCAACCCTCGCCCTCAAATTCAGCAACGTCCCAGCCTTGCGGGACTGTCTCTGCCATGTTGCACATGAACAGCTTGCTTGTAGAACCAAGACTTAGTATAACCTCCAACAAGTTTCTCCCGGATGTATGAGGCAAGAGCTCTAGAAATACAATCAGCCCCAGACTCCCCAAGCCCAAAGGGAAGATAATTCAAAACAGTAGCGATAACTGGGGAGACTAAATGGTCTTCATTCACTTTATCCATATTAAAATTAGCTTGCATTTCTTGTATGTCTTCTGACAGCAAGGATAGCTAGATGTCAGAGGCAAGCTATTTGGCGATTTAGAGGTAAGCCAATAAATAGTTAACATAGACAAAAAAATAAAACTGAACTATGTAAATTCTAAAGAATGAGTTAAAAGTAAATTATGGACCCAGGTCGAGTCACAAAAGTGATTGAGGAAGATTTTTACTACAGAATGCCCCAGAGCAGAGGAGCATTTGAAATGTAGGTAAAAGCACTTGAAAGAGTAAAAAGGAATATTTGTGCTCTGACAAGGAGAGCTAAAACTGCAGAAAGACTCAGTTGATGGCAAGGACTCTATCTGGCACCCTCCTGGAAGCTCACACCCAGAGACTTTTGATTTGACTTTTTTTTAATTGAGATGTAATTGACATATAACACTATTCATTTCAGGTGTACAACATAATGAATCAACATTTGTATATATTGCAAAATGATCACCATGATGAGTAGTTAACATCTGTCACCTCACATAGTTACAACTTTTTTTTCTAGTGATGAGAACTTTTAAGATCTACTCTCTTAGCAACTTTCAAATATGCAATCCAGTATTATTAACTATAATCAACATGTTGTACAGAGAGTTTTGACTTAAAAAAAAGCCCAGTTAGAACATCTGTATTGAAGTACCTTACAGTGGTAGGATACCAGGTTTCTTTAAATATTAAATCAGTCTGTAAGCTGTCTGTGGCATATGTGCCCTTTACAGAAATTAGATTTTTTATATCTAGAAAACAGAGTAAATATTTACCAAGGGCCAGAATACTATGTAGATCTGGATGATAATCTAAGAAAGCCACAGGAAAAAAGCCTTTCAATCATTCCCAACTTTCGGAAGTCAGGTGAAAAGTTTGACAGGCTGTGGACCAGACTTTTAACAAAGTAGAGTCCATGGGGGGTTGGTTCCAGGACCCGTGAAGATACCAGAATCAGTGGATGCTCAAGTTCCTCATATAAAATAGCATTATATTTGCATAGAACCTTAAAGTACATTCTCCCACATACTTTAAATCATCTCTAGACTACTTATAATACCTAATACAGTGTAAATGCCATGGAAACAGTAAATATGTAAATGCTACAATATGTAAATGGCTGCTGGAGCAAAGCAAATCGAATTTTGCTTTTTGGAACTTTCTGGAATTAAAAAATATATATTTTTAAAACCCGAGGTTAGTTGAATCCACAGATGTGGAACCAGAGGATACGGAAGGTGAACTGGACTGCTCACACAAGACCCCTAAAACTGCTTCCCACCACACTGGTACTAAGGCCCAGAGGAAGCATGCTTATTTAATACGAAATGTAAATTATTTCCATTTCTGAATATACAGTACAGTATGTTGCACAGTGCAGGGCCTCTCTGCCCCAGGGGTGCTCTCCAGCTGGGACTGAATTCATGCTCACAGATGATGCTGATTGTGGATCGATGGATGACCTGCTTGCGGTGGTTCCCTAAGCTGTGTGGATCCTGCAGCTTACATCTGCGGGCGGAAACAAACCCAGGAGTGCTGTCCTCCAGCGGGAACCGTGGGAAGGGTAACATACCATTTTCTTTTTCTCGATTCTCTGAATATGTGAATAGGGAAGTGAAAAGCAATGGAATCCACTTCAAACCGAAGGAGAAAACTCATTTCACCGGCTGGCATCTCTACCATGTGCTAATGTAGGCAAGCTTTTAAACAATAATTATGATAATAATAATAGCTCCCAGTCATGGAGAACTATCTTGTGAGCTAAGCACTTTACATACTTTACTGCTTAAAGTAAATTTCCTCATCTGTAAATTAAAGATAATAACGCACCCATTTTATTATGTTATTATGAGGATTCAAGGAGAAGAGATGGAAAAAGCAGTTTGCAAATTGAGGCAGCAGGGCCAAAAAGGACAGGGTTTGAAAGAGACAGACATGGGTTAAAATCCTAACTGTGATTTCTACTATTTGATCTTGTTGAGTTCCAGTTTCCTTTTCTCCAAAGTGGAGATGAAGCTACCCATCTTGGAGAGGAATTGAAAGAGACATTAGGTCAAACACCAGCTGGTGTCTGCATTACCAGGAGGTATTCAATAAATACTCATACCCTCTCTCCTATTATACATGTGAACTGCTTCTGTTAACCTCCATCAGCAGCCATTCAATGTCCACAGAATCCAAAGATGCATTTCCTTTCCTAACAATAATTTTACTCAGTTTAATAAGCCAGACACTGGTTCAGTAGCTTTAAATCTATGAACTCACTTAATCCTCACCACAATCCAGAGAGATAGGTAACTGTTATCCCCATTTTACAGACAAAGACACTGAGGCACAGAGTTTAGGTAACTTGCCCAGATTCAAACAGATGGTACCCAAGCTGCCAGCATGGCTCCCTAGTCTGTCCTCCGAACCATGATGTGACAGTGCATCATGTTAGGAGGGGGTCAACCTGTTTGTGCTTCCATGCTCAGATGTAATCTCTTCTAGAGATGAGCAATGGCTGCTCTCACCAAGTACAAAGTGTTGACTATCTTTTCAACTGTTGAAATTACATTTTGTGTATTTTCTTAGAATTCCTTAAAAAAAACTATGATATGTTTTTAAATGAGGTGCCTATAACTAGTTCATCTTGTTCCATGTGCTAGAATGCTATAAATAAGTGTGCTTCTTTTTCTAAAGAGTACCTAAATAAATCCTACATCAAAACACAACCCTGAGTTTTGATTTAAACGTTTATTACAAGTCCACATTAAAAAAGATATATTAGGGCAGTCAATGTTATCTGTTTTATTAAACTAATGACTTCTATACCAAAGAATTGGAATATTCTCCTTATTTCTAATATTCACTGTCTTAACAGTCATAGCAGTACTGTATGGTATTTCAAAGTACTCCTTTTACAAATTTAATCAACTCAAATATTAAACATCAATGATGATAATCTATTGCTCTGCTTAAAAGGAATCTCTAGGGGACAGACGAGAGAAAGGTTAAAGAATTCTAGAATTCTATCCTTCAAAGTAGGGCAGGGCAGCTACCTATAAATCATGCTCTTTGTTTATTAAGATAATTAAGCCTATCAGTACACTTAACTTTCAGACTCAACAATTGTCTGGCATGAACCATTTCCACTTTTTCTAAAACAAAGGGGATGTGTTCAAAGGGGTCCTCTGCAAGCTCTCTGTACAATGCATGCTATTTTAAAACATGATTTATGTGTCTAATTCCTGGAGCTGCCTTGAAAAATATACTGGGGTTTTCCTTGCACATTCCCTATTAGGAGAAGACACTCCAATTTGAAGAGTGCACTCCGTTTCAGACTGCAGAGCGCTATATCATGTCAACATTTTCATTAAATACGTTCAAGCTAGACCTTAAACAAATGGAATGGAGAGCCACAGCTGCAGCCACTGCAGAGAGACAGTTATCCTGCCGGGAGGCTTACATAAGAGGTGGAGGACAGTAAGGGTGAAACCCAAGTGTCATCGTCTGAACACTATTGCTTTGAGACTTGCTCACATTCTTAAAGTGTATGAAATCATACACGCTGAGCGGGTTTCTCATTTTATTTGCCTTATAGCACAGAACTCTAGGTTGACATATAAGTTGTCTTTCCCTAAAGGACTGGTCTCCAATTACAACTTCTGCCTAGGGGAAGAGAAAAGTGGGATGCGCGGGAAGCCTGGAGGCCTGAGAGGGAATGACTTAGCCCCCATCCCCAAAGATCTATCGCATCCAGGAATATTACTAGAGTCATTCCCTTGAGGACTTGCGATGGAGGTGACAGGACCCCCCTAACACCCCCCCGCCCCCCCCCCCGCGCGCGCACACACACATACACACACACACACACACACACACAGTCAAAGGGCTTGGAATGTGCAATCAGCAGCAGGCAAAATGCCCTCAGAGCACCTGTCCTCTCACAGCATTTCCGTCTGGCACGTTCAGCAGAGGCTGGAGCCAGTTCTCCCGGGACTGCTTCCTCTCCCCGCGTGCCCTGTCCGCGGCTTCGCACCCTCAACTCCCCAAGCTGGAGCCCTGCTAACAAGAGGTGCCATCCCCAGCTTCCCACGACGTGAAGATAACAAAAACGAACCTCCCCTTCCCGTGGCGCCCTCCAACTTCAAAAACTACAGTCAACTTACTGGGACGAAGGCGACAGGGAGCCTTCGGGGGGGACCGCACTCCCGCTGCGCACAGAGCGCCGCGGCCCCGCACCGCCCGGGCGGCGGCGGGTGCGGGGCGAGGTGCTGCCGCTCTGCACCAGCCGCCTTGGCTCCGCGGTGCCAAGCGCGGCGGCGGCGGCGACGACAGAGGTTGCACCCGGCCGCGCGGTCCCGAGCGCTGCAGCTGCCGCCCGCCCCGGAGTGCGGCGCTTCGAGCCTCTGGTGCGTGTCTCCGGCTCCGAGGGAATCGGGGCTCAACAAGGAAGGCGGCCAGGGAAAAGCCGAGGCGCTGTAGCGGGGAGAGCTGCCAGCCCGCTCCCAGGCGATCGATCACATCGCAGCCGCGCCGACAAGCGAGCGGGAAGGCAGGCACGCGCCGCACTCGGCACTCGCCGCCGCGCCGCGGAGAATGACAACCGCCGAGGCAGTGCAGCCGTGCGGGGCGCGGGACGCGAGTGCGCATGAGCCCGGCCCTCTGCGGCACGTCACGGGGGAGGGCGGGGCGGGGAGGGGGCGAGGCGGGCGGGGCCGGGTCGGGGCGCGGGGCGGACCCGGGTGCGATGCCCCGCTCCTTCGTGGGAAGGTACCGGAAGTCTCCCGCCTGGGGTTCGGTGAACCTTAAGCTGTGTGGTTGAACTTGTTTGTCTCCAGAGTCCATTGTCTCTGAAAAATCACTGTTTAATCTAAGCGATCCATAGGGCCCCTGGCAAGCCTACAAAAGCCAATTTAACTCAGGTTATAGTTTAACCTTAAAAAGCTGGGATTTAGGGGACAATGTACCTTGGCTGTACATTAAAGTAACTTACGGAACTAGTAAGAGCCTTTTTGCCCCGTCCGCACCCCAGAATCCAGAATAGTAAGTACATGAGAATCTCTAGATGGGGCCCAGGTATCATTAGGTTGTAAAGCTTCCCAGGTGACACCAAGGTACAGTAGAGCCTCTCAAAGGTGTGACAGAATCTTCTAGGGATTTTGTCAAAATGCTGGTTCTGATTCAGTAGGTTTGGGCACTACGGGGCGATTCTTCATTTCTAACAAGCTCTCAGATGATGTCAGTGCTGCAGGTCCAGACCACCCTATCTTGGCTACTGGAAGTGTGGTCTAGAGTCCGGAGTAGAGCTTCTGGTCTGTGTGAGAATCACCCGAGTAGCTTTCTGAAAATGCAGACCATATTCACGGGCCCTATCTACAGTGGTTATTGTTCAGCGGCTGGGCAAAGGTGGGTCTCTGGAATTCCATTCCTAAGGAGCACTCTCGATGAGTCTGATATAGGGGTTGTTTGAACCAAACTTCAGGATATTAGACCAGCAGCTAGGAGTTGGGAATAGACCTTTGCAGTGAGAAGCACCAAGCCGGGTATTGAACTCAAGACATCTGACTGCAAGTCCAACTCCAATTGGTGCTTTATCTCACTAGTCCAAATTTTCTACAATTATTATGCATTACTTTACTTAGTAGGAAAAATATATAAATCATGTTAAACACACACACAACACGCGCACTGTATTCCTTACACGTATCATTAAAGGAGGCTTAAATCTGGCCTGGGAAGAAGGCTGATCAGGAGGGGAGGTATGGGAGTAGGGAGCAAAGTGATGGAGTAAGAGATGTTAGATGGCCTGTTCCATAGTGCATTGCAGAGGGAAGGCTGTGTAGCAGGAAACAAATTTAGGTTCTGGAAAGGTGCCTTGGAGAAGAAGATCCAGGGACTGGATGTGGTCTCCTGTCCGGTAGCACAGGGTGAACCTCAGGTATTCCAGAACTTATTAATTTATGGTACGTCATATACATTACCTCACTGAAATCTCACAATGGTCTCGTAAATTGGATAAAAGAGATTTATGCTCATTTTACAGATTTTAAAATGTTGACTTGCTCAAACAGTGGGACTTGAATAGATTACAGATCTGAGTGTTAGACACAGCTTCTATAACTCTAAGGAAAACGATTCAGATCTTATAAGAAAAATGCTTTCTGTTTATTACTCACATCCTTTAAAGGCTGTGCCTAAGTTTTGGGTTAGAAAAGCTTTCATTTTTGGAGGGAAAAAATCCATTTTGCATCTTCACAGCAGTTTTGCAGCTCCACAAATTGGGATACATTACAGTTACACAGGGCAGGCTTCACTGAGAGTTTCAAAGAGTGACACTCACGTTTTCTGGTGACAAGTGTGATTACCATCCTCATTTTATCCAGGCCCAGAGAAGCTAAGTGATTTAGGCAAAATCCAGGCAAGAGCCAGTCTCAGGCCTCTGTCCTTCTCCTCTGCTCTCCTGTCACCAAATGACCTCCTGAAGATTGTTTTACATTTCCAAATTTTTACTGATTTGCCATCAGTAAATTAGAACCCAAAAGTATTCCAAAGTCACTCCTTGATATAAAACCATAAGTGTCAGGAACAATTCTTGTGTTTGCGGTAAATACTCTGGACTATATTCCCAATGTGAATAAAGTTTTGGAAGAAAGTGTGTGATGTTTATACGCAGTCTCCCAATCCAGAGGTTTGCTTTGGAACGCTATACTGTAAACTATGTCCGACCCACCTTTGTCTTTGCCTCCAGTATAACTCTTCCATTAGAGCTATTCCTCTGTGTGATTATGAAAAAATTAATAAATGAATGCCTAATTAAAAGAGAATTCTCTATAAATGAGGGAGATGGTTGTGGAAATTTGTTAGTTCAGTTTTTAATAAGAAAATATTTTAAATTACAAAAAACACAAAGATAGCATAACAATCATGTTGGGACTTTTAGGAGAGGTGTCCAAAGTTGTCATCCTGTTTTCTTAGGTGTTAGAAACTCCAATCAAAATATTTATCTGTATAGTGTATGAATTCACTTGAATATTGACTTTAAGAGAGCCAAGATTTAATTTTATAAAAAGTTAATTAGTATGACCCAGCGCCACTGTATTTTGAGTTACTATCATTGGCATTAAACACAGGAAATATGTAATTGCCTTAATATTGACTGTATTAATATTGATTGTATCTGATCTATAATTTGTTTCTGATTAGCTGCTGTTGTTGTCTGGCAGGGATAGCAGCTACGTTATTTTTCTCTGAGCTATGTATTCCTTAATGGGTCAGCAAAGTCTGCTCTTTGGCTGAGAATTTCTTCATTCAATGCCTCTAAAAGTCCCAATAGTGAGGATTTCAATTATACAGATGCTAGCGACTCCATTGAACCCATTCTCTGCTCATTCAAGAAACTGTACCTAGAATAGATTTTTATTACACTCTTTCTGCTGAGAATCATGGGCTTATCACTGAGCTGAGAGGTTCTGACCCCCAAATTCTCTGTATTTGTTAATTACATTTCTTCATCCATGTCACTCAAAGATATTCTTGGACATGAAGATCTTCCACCCTCTGCCTAATTCATAGTGATAGTTCAGGTCAGAGAACTGTGGGGAGACCAGGGGACTGGCAAAGCTGAGACAGAAGTGGACACATAGAGTTAGATTTCACCAGGGAAAACTGAGGTTGCCATAAAAATGAACACGAGTTGTTCTTGATTTTTTGGACATGGTTTATTACCAGGTTTGCCTTGTTTGAGCACATGCAGCTGCTAGTAACTTCACTGGAAACCAAAACTGAATCCCTGGTGGGATGTAGGGATCGGGGAGGTGGGAGTGGAGATAGGTAGGTTAGCATTCTGTCTTTCTTATCCTGGGCAACTTTTGAAAACTATTGAAAAGCCCAATTCCTCTTTCCCTGACACAGGAAAGTTAAGAAGCACCTGAATTTCAAATGCTTACTTCTCAACTGTTTGTTCTAAAGAGTTTGTTTAGAACTTAGGACAGCCTGATCTGGATTTTTCAGGCTAGCTCCATAATGTTTTTTAAACCTACAAATAAATTAATATGGTGTTTACTGCAACTCCAAGCTTGAAAGGAAATAGGTGCTGGATGAGAATTCTGGCTCAGTGGTAAGAGAGGGGTCTGGGGCAGGGGAGAATGGAATTTAGGGACCAAAGAGGAAGACTGCCTATGGTCTTGGTGGCTGAGAAGCAGAGGCTGACAAAGACTGTTTATCAATAGCCTCTGAGATGAACTTTGGAGAAGTATGAGCCTGTGACCAAGAAGAGAAATAGCAGTTGAAACTGTACCTGCAGCTCAGCACTTGCATTTCCTTAAAGTGTTAAGGGTGCCACGTTTGACTTAATCTATAGGAATGAATGATCAGCGATTACTAAATAGGTTATAAATCCCTTATAAATAGATACATGCTTAAAGAACTACTACAGAAATGTACATAATTTGAATCTCTAAGAATTACCTACCCCTCCCTCCCAAGCAAGTTGTCCACTAATAGAAGGAGAAGGCGGCCAGTTGAGAGACCATGTGCACAGTTGGAACCACACAGAAGCTCTGGCTTCCAGAATCCCCATCTGTCAGCTGTAATCACATGGCTACCATCTTTGATTACCTAACATGGAATAACAATAGTTTTAAGCACATAGTAGGTTCCTAATAATGCCAGATATTAGGGTTCGCTTTTTTTTTTCTCCTAGAGTTAAAGGCTGTAGCTAGATGTCTCCTAATGCCCATTTTATCATTTTAATGTAAGCAGTGATTAACCATAGTTTGTAAGGGAGTGCTTTCCCGTTTTGACAGAAGACTTAAGAATGACTTTAGGCCTCCTCTGAGAACAGGGAAACCATGAAGAAAAGGCTTTCAGGGGAGATCAAGGCAAAGCCTGTTAATGTTACTCTCTGGCCTCACACTGTACTGCAAAGGAAAAAGCAGGGCTTAGGACTTGACACTTCCAGATCTTTCTATTGGGAGAAAGAAATTATGATGGGAAAGAGACAGTACTTACAAAAGTGAGAACAGAGAGTGTCTTAAGGAAATGTCTTTACATTACAGATTAAAGAAGGGATACCCATCATCCTTTGTCATCCTGACCTTACCTATTCCTTAAATTTCTATCCTGGCATTGCTACTCAAGATTCGTGGCTGTAAAAGTGATGCGAGGATGTGTTACTCATCATGTTGACCGAGATTCCTTAGGTTCACTTTTTCCCTCTTCTGCCTTTATCACTTCCATAGAATACAATTCTCACAAGCTCAAGTTTGAAGTAAGCGTCAGAGAAAACCGTGTGTTTCATTATCAGCCAACAAACAAAAAATCAAGATTGAAAAAGGAAGGTGTACACAGTTATGGAGAGTTTTACTTCCAGGAGGGGCTAGTTGCTCACTCTCCAAAGTCAGAAAGATATGAAAAGCTTTCAGGGGCTAAAGCATTGCTGTCATTTCTTTCTCCATTCCTACCCTCTCAAGGTTTTTTCAGCAAATAGACTTATCTGCTCTCAGTCCTGTACCCTCCCTGGAGTGGAGCCATATCTCGTTATGGAGGCACACAAGATGACAGGGAGGGGAAATTCAGTATACTGTGGCTTTTTCTTTGAACCAGAAGCCCCTTTAGGACTGGAGGAATATGCA